AAGTCGGGTACGGGGATTACCTCTAGTTTTATGATTTTAATTTTCCCTTTGACTAGAAGGAAAAACTAGCGTGCTAAGGCTATTTGAAGCCACACTCGCTCGTTTTCCTTATCGGAAGGGGATTTTCACGCAAATGAACCCTAACTAGCATGAAATGCAAGTCCTAAAGTGAAGGGGAAGGGGTTTGAGGAACATGCCAAATGATAAAACTAAAAAGAATGCATGACATGTAATGAACATGCAAATCATGTACTAACGAAAGGAAATTCCTAAGGGTCTAGCGTTGGACTAGCCCATTCTATGAATTCCGACTAGCGTTGGACTAGCGGAAACGTACATTCATCCATCACATTCATTCATGGTATGGAAAGCAAGTAGACATGCCAAACACTCATAAACATATAGTACATAACACTTAGCATGCTCGACTAGATGCAAAAACCTAATAAAGCAAGTTAACACTTAACACGTAGGCATGCAACCAAGCTAATGAACCTATTACATTCACTAACTAAAACAAAAGGGGAAAGGGAAAATGGACCAAATTGCTTGCCACAGCCCTATCTATTACAAGCCAAGAGGTGTACACATACCCCATTAAAAGAATAACGTAATGAAAATAAAAAGTAAATGACATAAGTAAAAGGAAATAAAGAAAAGCTAGGAAAGCAAAGTAGACATGCAATTCACTTAGCACGTTGAGTCACATAGGAGAGACACAAAAAGGGATAAAAGAAATTATACCTCCCCCCGTTGGTGATATTAACGAAATGAATAAGACCTAAATGGGGCCAAAGTCACCAAATATCGGGACAACTAGGGCTAAAATCATCCAAAGCAAAAGATTAATGCACCAATTTAATGATAAAATGTAAATAAATCAAATGACATCCATCAAACCATCAAAAATTTCCTCAATCACAACTTAAATGTAGTCAAAGGTATTTAAAGATCAATGAGAAGGCATGACCTATTCAATTTCCAAGTAAAGCATCTACTAAGGACTCAAACATGATCCTTGCCCAAACATTCGGGTCAACCAAACATTTAAGAACTTTAAAGGTCCAAAACAAAACAAGGGTCAAGCAATCAAACACATAAACATGGAATTGAACAATTAGAAGCATTTAAATGCCTAAGATTTCCATATTCATGAAATAAAGCCCCCAACTATTGATTGAATCATCAAAACATCTTAAAATCCACACGAATGCACATTACCACATGAATCGAGACGAAGCTCTTGAAGCCCTTTGAACTCATCCTAAAACCCCTTACCAATCTATCCAAGAGTCAACCCAAAACATATAACCATCAATTAAGATCCTAGAACGGCAAGGTTAATCAAATAATTCAAGAAATGGAGCCATAGTGCATTGCTGCGAAATTAAAGGGACCCAATTGATTAAATTTTCCAATTTCTGGGTCATAGTAGCATTAGTTAGAAGCCAAGGGGTCAAAGTGCAATTTTTCTGGAAATTATTCATGCAAAATGCATGCAACCCACGTAGAGAAAACACACGCCTGCAACATTTCCCTTAAGCTTTCAGCAGCCCAAAATACACATCCGAATGCAGCTTGCTTTGAAAACCAATTCTTTGATCAAAATCATGGCGTGAAACTAAGCAACAAAGCCCATAACTTCAATGATCAAACAAGTAAGAAACATAACAGAAACTGATGCAACAAAAAAAACAAAATCTGGACAGGATGTTCATGTAAAATGATTTGGTAACCTGGAATTCATTTTCCAGCAAAAGGTCAAACATGATTTAAATGTTTAGAGCCAAACGTACAAACGCAACACCAATCAAACGCTACCCTTTTCTACACCAGATTAATTATCAAACTAAGATGACCAACTTGGTGAAGGAAAACGGAGACAAGAACAACAAAACAGATACAGCATTCTTTTCTCTGCTGCAAAATTTTCAGCCGCGGCTTTTACTCATTTCACAATGCAAGCAGGTTCATCAAGTTCTCAGATTTCTACCTATCAAAACATTGGCCAAACACAATTTCGTTGCAGGTTTGAAGCACAAAATTGGAGCTAACCATCAGGGATAAAGAGACTAGACAGCAAACGAGAGAGAAAAAAAAAACAGAAGAAAATGCAGCAGGTTTTCTGCAACCAAATAAATAGGCTGCTGCATTTTGCTTCACTCAGCCGAGACATGTCTATGCAAAAAGTAACCCAAGAAATTTCCAATGAATCTAGTCGTTCACAAGTTCAACTGGATATGAAAATGAAATGCAGCAAAGGTGTGGAGGGAAGGACCTATAATGAACATTCACTCCATGTCAAAGAAATATGAGAAAAGGGAATAGACTTTGCCGAAACTTCATGTTATCTTTCTGGGTTATATTTGTTCAGCAACCATAAACTCCAGCAACAATCTAAGATACAACCCCCTCCATTTAACTAACATCATTCAAGCATTGATCATCAAGCCCAGAAAATCCAATCAAAGCAACTAAACAAAAGAAACAGCAAATCACAACCATGAAAACCAAACGAGATCCTATGAAAAGAACTCATGACCTCTTATGTCTGTACAAGGAATTCTAAGACAAGACCACACAGTCCATTCGAAACCGTGCTACAATATCTTAATCAAACAATCAGAACTTGTTTCCAAGCGCAAGCATCAAGCAACGAATCACGCAACAAAAACCCACTCAATGGGCTGTTATAGTAAGAAAAACATCGAAGTGAACAAAACGCAGCAAGATTTTTGCTTAAGGCAGAACTGAGCTTGCGGAAAAAGTGTAAGGCAAAAAGGATTACCTTTAACACCTTATGAAGTTCAATGACCAAGGAAGGACCGAGAAGACTGCATCCAGATGCCAAATTTGAAGATGCAAATTTCTGGAAAGAAACTTCAAGGGCACCGTATGAAGTGCAGAGACAGGAATCGATCCGTCTTATCTAGCCCTTGCCCCTTTTCCTCAGCTGTGATCTCCCTCACTTGATTTTCCTTCTCACTCTCTCAAACTGTCTGAAAATTCTCTCTTGGTTCTTCCCTTCTGTCGCTCCCTTTCCCAGATTTTCTGGACTTTCTTTTCTTCCTTCCAAATTTTTGCAGCCGTCACTCTCTATAAATCTCCCTCGTTAGTTTCTTTCTTTCTTTCCCGTCGGCTTACTCTCCAAAATCTCTCTATCTTTTCCTCAGTTTTCACTCTTTCTTTAGTCTCTCTCTCTTTGGCCCAGATTTTTCTCCCTTCGTAGCTTTCTCTTCTCTCCTTCTTGCGTCTGTTTCCTTTTTCCTATCCAGTTTCACTTAGCTGTTTGATTTTCATGCGCCGTTGCTCTCCATCCGACCCCTTGCGGCTATCTTTCCCTTTTGTTTTTATATCCCAATTCAACCCTAAGAACCTCTGTCCTTTTTTCTGTATTTTGCAGCTTCAGGAGCCGTCCCCAGATTTCTTTGCAAACGGCGCAAGTCCGCAGCTTTCATGCTGCGGCAACAATTTTCTTTTTTTCTTTTTTTTTTTTTAAAAACAGAGATTAATAACAATAAAAATGAAATAAATGATAATAACAAAAATTTATAATAACAGAAATTGATATTAAACAGCAAATTAATTTTTCATTTTTCATCATTTTCTTTTTCTCAAAATAACTTAATAAAAATAACTAAAGTGCCCAAAGATTGAATAAACATATTTTTGTGAACAAATTTTCCTTTTTCTTTCTTTTCATTTTTCCAAGCCAACTAAAGCCTATTTTTTTTTTGAATTTTTCTTCTTTTTCCTCTTTTTCTTTAATTTTCTCTTTTCTCTTTTTTTTCTATGATTTTTCATTTTCATTTTTCCTTCAAGAAAGCATTGAATAAAAACAAAATGACTAAAACATATTTTTGATGTTTTCCTTTTCTTTTTCTAAAAACTCTATGCTAATCTTAAACTTAAAAGCTAAAACTAAAAACTAAAACTAAAAGTAAATAAGAATAAATAGCAAATGAAATAGGTCAACTAAAAGGGCGCGAAAATGAATAAAACTAAAATATCATAAACACTAATAGTGCAAAACACACAATAACGAACTAAAATGCAAGCAATCTAAAATGAAAATCATGAAATAGATGATACATACAAATTATTCAAAATTTGGTGTCTACAGTTTTTTTTTCATGTAACGAGTTTCTTTTTTTTTTCAATAATAAAACGCTTTTCATCTCTTATCTCTTTTTTTTTTTAAGAGAAAAGAACTCAAATGGAGCATTTTACTATGTTTTTTTATTTTTTGGAAAGAGAAAATTCCCTTTTTTTTACAAGGGACAAGGATTTGATTTGAAGTGGTGTAACTGAACTTAGAAGTTGCCCTCCAAGCTGCCTACGTATCCCAACAAGGGAATCAAGTCACACGTAGTTCCTGCCGTTCACATTTTAACCTCATGCGGGCCAGGAGTATCCATTGGTTTACCACCTTAGACTTGGTGAAGTGTTTCAGTAGTTTAACCACATACTACACTATTGGTGGTTGCCATCCACAGTTTTAGCTCATGCGGGCCAGGAGCATCCCGTGGTTTCGATTACGCATAGTACCTTTTTAGGTACTTGCCATTGATGGGGCCAACCCTTAACCCGTCTTCAGCAACCAACTTGTATGAGCCATTTGTATATACTTCTCGAACAACATAGGGCCCATCCCACTTAGAAATAATCTTTCTTTGACCGCCATGAGTGAGAATGATCGGTCTCCGAACGGCGAGTACTAAATCTCCAATCTGGAAAGAGCGTGGCCGGACATGTTTATTAAATGCTTTTGAAAGGCGGGCTTGATAATACTCAATCCATTGCTGGGTTTCCAATCTCTTTTCGTCGAGTGCTTCTAACTCCTCGAGGCTAAGACAGACATTATCTTCTTCACTGAGCCCTTCTTGAATCGCAATTCTTAGCGAAGGTATTTGACACTCAAGTGGAAGAACAGCTTCAACACCATAAACAAGCGCGTATGGGGTCGCTTGCGTGGGAGTTCGAAAAGTAGTTCGGTATGCTCAAAGTGCTTCTCCAATTCGAAGATGCCAATCCCTTCTCGATTTATTCATGACTTTCTTCAACAGATTACATAAGGTCTTGTTGAATGCTTCAACGAGTCCATTTGCAGCAGCGTAGTACATGGACAAATTGTATTGTTTGAAATGAAACTTCTCGCAAAGTTTGTTCATTGCTACATTGCAAAAAGGCTTACCATTATCGGTAATGATATAACGCGGGACTCCATACCGATAAATGATGTGCAATCGAATGAAATCCACTACATTCTCCTTTTTGACCTCTCTTAGAGGAATCGCTTCAGCCCACTTTGAAAAGTAATCCGTCGCCGCCAAAATAAAAACATGTCCGCCAGAAGACTTTGGAAGTGGTCCAACTATATCCAAACCCCAAGCATCGAACGGCCAAGAAGCCACAGTTGGGTGCAATGGTTCAGGGGGCTGATGGATGAAATTGCCATGAAATTGACATGCTTGACATCTTCTAGCAAAATCAATGCAATCCTTTACCATTGTTGGCCAGTAGTATCCCATTCTTTTAATACGAAAGTGTAATTTCGGGTCAGACTGGTGAGCACCGCATATCCCAGAGTGAGCCTCCTCCATTGCTTGCATGGCCTCATCTTCTCCAAGACATCGTAGAAACACCCCATCGAATGACCTTCGGTAAAGCGTCCCTTTGTAGTAAATGAAACGTAGTGCTTGACGACGTATATCAACCCTTTTCTTAGGATCTCCTGGTAACTTTCCATGATTAAGATAATCAATGATGAGGTGACGCCAATCTTCCTTTTCGATCTCATGGACAAAAATATGATAAGTATTTTTTTCTTCACTATCATTACCTTCATCAAACATCGGAGGTATGACCCAATTTTGACATATTGAAATCTGATTTCGATGAGAAGGTAGAGTGATCATGGACGCCACCCTTGCCAAAGAATCAGCTTGTTGGTTGAAATTTCTAGGGATATGTTCTATAGTGACATTACCTAAATATCCCATGAGTTGCCTTGCATACTTGTAATATGGGATCAATTCAGGTTTCTTGACATCATAAACACCAAGGAGTTGATTTACCACCAATTTTGAATCACCGTAGACTCTAAGATGCAACTGCTTCATGTCTACAGCCGTTTCAAGACCGAGAATCAACGCCTGATATTCAGCCACATTGTTGGAATACCGGCGTGTTAAAGTGAAAGTGTATGGCAATATATCTGCTTCAGGAGTATAAAAGACAACTCCCGCACCAGCTCCATCACGGTGGGCAGCTCCATCGAAATACATTGACCACGGCAATTCGACCATAAACACTTCTTCATCGGGAAGTTCATCAGTCAACTCCCACTCGGCAGGTAGGGGATGATCGGCTAAAAAGTCTGCCAATATTTGTCCTTTGATAGCCTTCGCAGGTACGTACATAATTTTGAATTGTTGAAACTGGAGGTACCATCTCGTGAGCCGATCAGACAGTACAGGTTTTGCCATCACATATTTAATGGGATTCGACTTAGATATGAGTCGAATAGTGTGTGCTTGAAAATAATGTTTTAACTTCTGAATGACAAATATGAGTGCCAAACACAACTTCTCGATGGGTGAGTAATTCAACTCATTAGGTGTCATCATCCGGCTCAAGTAATACAGCGCATTCTCCTTGCCTTCATCATTTTCTTGAGCAAGTAGGGCCCCAACCGACCGTTCTTGAGCGGAAATATAAAGAATCAATGGTTTTCCTGGGATGGGTACAGCCAACACTGGAGGATTCATGAGGTACATTTTGATGCTTGTAAAGGCATTCCTACACGATTCATCCTACTCGAAGGGCACCCCTTTCTTCATCAGTCGACTGAAGGGTTGGCATCGTCCGGCCAAATTAGAGATAAACCTCCGGATATATGCCAACTTCCCTTGAAGGCTCTTCAATTCATGAATATTTCGCGGTTCAGGCATGTTCACAATGGCATCAATTTTAGATCGATCGACTTCTATTCCCCGCTGATGAACGATGAAACCAAGAAATTTGCCAGAAGTGACTCCGAATGCCCACTTCAAAGGATTCATCTTTAATTGGTATCTCCGAAGGCGTTGGAAAACTCTTCGAAGGTCTTGAATATGATCCCCTCGCTTCTTTGATTTCACCACAAGGTCATCAACGTAGCACTCCACATTTCTATGGAGCATATCATCAAATATTCTTTGTATTGCCCTTTGATATGTCGCTCCAGCATTTTTCAAGCCAAACGGCATTACTTTATAGCAATAAATTCCCTTGGGGGTGCGGAAGGCAGTTAGCTCCTCATCCTCGGGCGCCATACGTATTTGATTGTAGCCAGACGATCCATCGAGGAAAGATAGTGCTTCATGCCCGGTTGTAGCATCTACCGTCAATTCTGTGATGGGGAGAGGAAAATCATCTTTGGGGCAAGACTCGTTTAAGTCTCGAAAGTCAACACAAACTCGAATTTGCCCATTCTTCTTCCTTACAGGGACGATACTTGAAATCCATGTTGGATATTTTACTTCTCGTATGAATCCGGCTTCAATCAATCGATTTATCTCATTTTCTATCAGAGGAATCAATTCGGGCCGAAAGCGCCTTTGCGTTTGCTTGACAGGTTTTGTTCCTCGCTTGACGGACAAATTATGAACGGCGACCCTTGGATCCAAACCAGGCATTTCTGAGTAATTCCAGGCAAAGACGTCCCTGAACTCGAGCAGCAAATCAACATACTCTTTTTCTTCTTCAGGGGTCATACAAGAGCTTATGTAAATTGGGCGAGGATCGTCGCTTGTGCCAAGGTTAATCTCTTTTAGCTCATCGACCGTATTTTTTATCCCTTGTTCAAGTTCAGCGGGAGCGACATCTGCGTCTTCTTCTTCTTCTTCAAGATCACTGATCGTAATATGGTGACAGGAAGCCATACTTTCTTGACCCTGTTCTTCAAAAATGGTTTCAATTCTTACATTGAATAAGTCTCCATAGTGCATGAAGAAATTGGAGACTCGCTTTCTTGGTCTGTTTTTCTTTATTGGAGTAAGACTTTCTTCCCTGGCAACTTGGTACTCTTGTTCCTTACTGCCTAATCTCTCATAGACGGGCGACTTCAGATTTTTCGGCTGCGGGCCAAGTCTGTCAAACACAGAAGTACGTTTTGACTTATTTCCCAATCGGTCGAACACAGATCTCTTTCGGCTTGTGACCTCCATTTCTTCATTCACATAGTTACAACTCGCTCTTTTGATCATTATACGAACAGGAGAGGGCGGTTGATAACCAAGACCCATCGATGAACTTTCAACATTATAGCCCTTTTCTTTCAACATTTTCTGCGTAGGTGTCAATCCGTGAGTCCTCTCGCCAGTCACTTCAGGAGGGAGTTTGCCCAATGTATTCTTCTCATTTGGGTTATAACCCGCCTTAGCAAGAAGTCTATAGGCATTTGGATTAAAACCTTCTTGAGTCCGATTAGTTGGTAGCGAGTAATGTTTCACTGCCGGTTCTTCTTTGGGACGAACAAACCCTTGCAAGCTCACTTTCTCAATTTTAACAGGCTCTATCTTGGTGAGCGGAACATTTAATGTGTCATTTCTGATAAAAGAAGACTGACCTTCTTCTCTCTTTGATCTTGGAGTATACCGCAAAATGGGTACTTTGGAATCTTGACTTTCTTCCCTTATTGATTCCTTTCTTTTTGCTTCTTTGTGAAGATAAAATTTGGCATCGGCAAAGTGAGTTTCGGCTTCCGTGAAAGGTTTGTCATCGGCAGTAACTTTCTTAACAATACCGTCTCGACAATATTTGAAACATTGATGCAGAGTAGATGGTATAATTTCATTCTCGTGAATCCAGGGCCTTCCTAAAAGCATGTTATAAGAGGTTTTGGCTTCAATAATATGAAATAACGCACTTGAAGACAGCTCACCAATAAGCAATTCAAGCCTTATGAGGCCAATTGCTCTTTGCCCCCCTTGATTAAATCCTTGGATCATGAGGCGGCTCTGGGAGAGTTCATCACTTGAGATTCCTAACTCTTTCACAGCACGTACGGACATGATATTGACAGCAGATCCCCCATCAATGAGTACCCGACTCATCTTTTCTTCTCGAACATATGCACTAACAAACAAAGGTCGATTGTGGGTCTTGAACTCAACAGTTAAATCATCATCATCAAAAATGATGGTCGCTGCACAATTCACCGGTGGTTTATCGTCGACTTTGAGTTTTTTCTCAAATTCAGTGCCAATTTGTGTGACTTGAGGATTTTCGGCTTTGACGACATTACAAGAAGTGAAATCATCGGTATCGTCACTTAAATACCCCTTGGGTATAAATTCTCTCAGTGTCACGGGCTGCCGAACCTGCTGAAAATCTGAAGGAATTGGTTTTATGGCCACTCTCTTTTGTTTCCTTGTTGCATTTTGTCGTTTCATCGTTACTTTTGGCTTTGTCGAATGGATGCTTTTCGAAAAGATGTACTTCTTTATTCTTGGCTTGCAAGTTCTCTTTCGAGTGACTAAAGTCCATCCTTCATTATCATCTTTGACAACATCTTCAATTGACGATTTTTCAAACTCCGTTTGTACAGACAGAGCACTGCTTGATGTGGGTAGAACTTCTATCGGGCAACACACAGATCCAAACATTATTGTTGTTTGGTTTGCCGATGCTTTATCCTCCTCAAGAAGGATTTTTCCTTGACAGGCCAATTCCATAATTTTATCTTTAAAGACAAAGCATTTAGTGAGAGGGTGGCCAATCAAGCGATGATAACAGCAATAATTTGAATCATTGACTTGACCAACTTCCTCTGGGCGCTTCATGTCGGGAAGTTCAAGGAGTTTCTCCTTGAAAAGATCATCAAACATTCCTTGTAAATCGGATTCGAGGAAGGGGTACTCCTTCTCTTGCATTTCTTTTAGAGTAGGTCTTCTTACCGACCTATTTTGAGGAGAGTCTACTCTTTCGGCGACTTTTCGACTTACTTTGGTAGCAATCTTCATGGGAGCTGTATTTATTGCCATGGACTCCTTATTATTGAATCTTGAAGGAGGCTTGCCCCCTTTTCTATTTTCTTGTCTTTCATTGTTTTGCCAAGGTGGCTGTACTCACGGAATTTGAATAGGAAATCCATCAGTTGCATTGGCCGTGATGCTTAACTCCATATCATGAGCACGAGTAGCTAATTCTTCAAATGTGTTTGGGCGTATACCCTGCAAAATGTAACTTAGGCTCCAATGCATTCCTCGAATGCACATTTCTATGGCAGAGGGTTCAGACAGCCTATCCTTGCAGTTGAGACTCAGACTTCTCCACCTATCAATGTAGTTGACCACAGGTTCATCCTTCCATTGACGAGTGTTAGTCAACTCCAGCATACTGACGGTTCTTCTAGTGCTGTAGAAGCGATTCAAGAACTCTTGTTCCAACTGTTCCCAACTGTCGATGGACCCCGGAGTGAGATCAGTGTACCAATCAAACGTGTTGCCCTTCAAGGATCGGACGAACTGTTTGACTAGCAGGTCACCATAGGTTCCAGCGTTATTGCAGGTTTCGACAAAATGAGCCACATGTTGTTTTGGACTGCCTTTCCCATCTAACTGTTGAAACTTAGGCGGTTGATATCCAGCAGGCATTGCTAGATTGTCAATTCTAGCAGTGTAGGGTTTGGAGTAGGTGAAACTCGATCTTGAACTACCCCCATTTTTGTCCTTGATCACGCCTTCAACAAGTTCCTTCAACTGTTCTACGGGGATAGTTCCCTCGGCGGTCACGTGTACTTCTTTCACATTGTCTTTACCTTTAGATGAGAGATTTTCACGCTCTTGGTTCTCCTTAGAATTCATATGGCTTCCCTCAGGAGCGCGGTCCTTTTGGGTGAGCAGTTGAGCGATAAGAGCATCTTGGTCCTTGATGTGTTTCATCATGGTTTCCATCATCTTGGACATGTTCGAAACTTGTTCTTCGAGACTCAAAGTATTTGTCATCATGGCAGTAATTGCAGCAGAAGAAGCAGCAGAATCTTCAATACAAAATCTTGAATGAAGAGTTTCGTGCGAAGAGGCTGATCCAGTGCTTGATGAATCATCGTCATGCTTATAAAATTTGGGCTCGAATCCAATTTCGAGCATGGCAAGAGCCTTCTCAATCGAGGTGAAAACGTCTTGGACCCCCATCGATGAGGAATAGCTCATTTGTGATGTTGGCCCGAAGACGGGAGTTGGCGCTGAGGGTTCCATGCTACTTTGGGTGGAGGCCCTCGTCATACTCATTGTCACGGGACCAATAGTGCGGATATTGGTGGCAACGTGTGCAGCTTCCTGAACAGGCTCAACATCAGTAGCCTTGGAACGTGCAATCATGATTTTGTTGCTCTTTGGTGCCATTGGTGATAGTTGAATATTTGAGAAGAAGAGATGGAAGGCAGAGATGGTCCCACTGGGCGTGCCAAAAATTTGTACGCGACAAATTTTTCAAGTCTGCAAAACGACAAGAAAAAGAAATACACGACAAATATGTACTATATAAACTTAAAAAATATGTAGGTACAATCTCTGGAAGTTTCTCGAACTTATGGAGAGTTTCCTTCGATTCTTCTCCTCGAACACCAATCCAAGGGCTTCGCAGCTTGTTCTTGGATCCACCACTGGTTCCTTCAAATCTTAATATGGAAGACTTGAAGGGCTTGAAAATATTTAGAGGCTCAAGCCTTGATATGCGGAAGACTTGGAGAACTTGAAGATCCAACCCTTCGTAGCTTGAAGCTTTGATACTTGAGTGTATGAGATGCTTCTTGATATCTCTGTGTATCTGTGTGTGTGTCCTTGATTTGGTTGAGAGACCTCTATTTATAGTTGTAGCAAGAGGTGGAGGTTGAGATCATGTACACCACTCTACTTGCCTTGCAAGACGTATAGTCATATTAGGACTGTGCCAGTTAAATATTATCTCTTTATTAATAAAGAGATAAATAATTTCTCGATTGGCCAGGCTTGTGGGGACACGTGACGTGGCGCCGTTTGACTGGCCAGGCTATTGCAGTATCTAAGAGATATACTTGGATTAAATGACTCTAAATATTATCCCTTTAATAAGAAATAAATATTTAGATATTTATCCAATGGACATGTGACATGATATGATCTAGTTGGTGGAGATATCCCTGCAATTTGAATTGATTTGGAACACCTCGCCTTGACACGTGGCAAAACGTAATTGGCCATTTAATAACCAATTTTTCCAAGTGTAAATGCCATATGGCAATATCCGATTGGACAAAAATATTTTATAGACCAATGGTAATTTTTAGAATTTAATTAAAATTCCGTTGTCTACAGTGTTAATAATAAGTGAGTGAATCATAAGTGAAAACACTAGTACGCGCGAGTTAGGGAAAAACGGCTCGAACCAATGTGCACTGTTTGCTACCGATTGATTGCACCACTTGAACACTACTTTATTACCTTAATCTCCTTACTTTTATTTCAGAACAATCAACCCTAAATATCTCCTCCAAACAGCCAAAATTTTGGACTAAAAAAACAAGAGAGAAAAGAAAATTTTGATCACCAATCAAAGTGTGACACTTGTTGGAAATTTAGTAAACTTTGACTAAGCTAATTTCCTTTCTTCTTATCACCAAAATTGGCTTCATTTTTTCTTCAATTCTGTCTTGTTGGCCATGAGTGAGAGGAGAGAAAAATAAGAGAGGAAAGCTAACAACTTCAACCTTGAATCCATCTTGTTTGAGTGAAATCTCAAAAACTAAACCGATTAAACTTACCTTTTGGTGTTTGGCAAGCTTGGTGTGGTGGAATTTTTGGAAGAGAGTGGTTTGGTTTTCATTAGCAAGCAGCTTTTGGAAGGTATAAACCTTGAACTTCATGTTCCCTTGCTTAATCTTGTTAATTTGGTATAGAATTTTCTACTCTTGGATTGCTATGGCTAAATATTGAGTTTTGGAATGATATAGTGGAATGTTTAGCTAGGGTTTACATTTTTCAGCCTTGATTATGGTTGGTTACCAAGTAATTGATGGTATTGAGCTATGATGTTGTAGAGTAGAAGTGAAGTTCCAGCATTGATAGTGGAATCTGCCCTGTTTTTGTACTGCATGTTCGTCCATGAGAAAGGCCAAATCAGGTCTTGCTCAAAACATGAAAGTTGTAGGGAATGGAGTTAACTATCTACCTACAAAATTTCATCTCAATCGGAGCACTGCATCTAGTGAAATTACTAAAATACCCTGACTGCCCAAATGCCCAGTTTAATAGACAGTTTTCCGTTTTCTCTGAAATTTCAATTTTTGACCTTGAAAATGCAAGAATTGGGTGTTGATGTCTTCATAGGAAATGTAGGTCTCTATCTTAGCTTTGAAACGCCATAAAATTTACCCCAATATCATAAGCATAGCATCAGTTCTGATAAAAAAGTTGGAAGATGTCAAACCTATTACTTAGCCATTTGTCCTTAAAACTGGTTTCCAGCTTTGTTTTTGATGGTTGCATTGATAGAATTGCCTTGTGTGTGAGGACCCGAAAATTTTCTTAGTTTTTGTCAAATATTACTGGTTTATTTAAATAGTTATTCACTCCTTTTCTCCGAATTATTTAATTCGACTATTTAAAATCCATTTATATGAAAAAATGCCTCTCTTATGTTTTTAAAGTGTTTTGTTAGAAAATATACTTTTCGAAAACTCGACTCATGCGAGGACTTGTAAAATTTTCTATTTTAAACTCCTATTACTAGCTCATTTAAATATTTATTTGGCCGTTTATTTCGAATATATTATTTCAACTCTTTTATACTCAATTATATAGAATTATGGCTCACATGTATTTTTTTTAAAATAACTTGATTCCAAAATCTAATTTTGGAAGCTCGTTAAGTGAGAATAGTGAATGCGCGTTTGGAGACAATAACCGATTTGAGAGTACTATGAGCTTTGAAAATTGGAGACTTGTACATTAGTCTTAAAATAGATATTTTTATGTTTAAGTGTTCAAGTGTTAGTTAGCTATACTATCGTTATAAGAATTTCTTGAAAATTCCACTTTATCGCGCGCAAATTGGCAGTATGCATTTTACGCGCGTGATTTAATTGAGGGACCTTAAACCATTATTTTAGACCATTAAAAGTGAATAATAATAGTATGAATAGAAGTGCATTAGAAGTTTAGTGCACAAGTGAAACAAACTCGAGAGGAATCGAGCACGAAACGCGTGCCGGAAGAGAGTTGACTTCTGAACTAATTTGAGCCACACATTTTAGCTTCTCTTGGAAGCTTCATTTTGATCAAACTCTCCCTCTCACTTCACTCCTAGACAGCCAGCCACCAAGGAGGAAAACAACACCAAAGATCTTCATTTTCCTTCATCAATTCTTGCTTCAAATCTTCACCAAATCACCTCAAAATTTAACCATACTTTGCTAACCACTTGGAGACCCCCCTCAAGCTAGGAAGAGGGCTCGTTTTCCACAGTTTTTCTTGAGGAAAAAGGACCAAAAATTTCTGCTTGGTTCATCTAAGAAAGTAAGTGATGATCAACCTTTCAATTCTTAGTTTATGAAGACTATCTTGCACTTATAAGCTTATATAATCATGTGGGTAGCTTTATTTATGTTGGAAATTGGTGTGTGGGCTCTATGAACTCCCACTATGGCTTGATGGACTGATTTGATGAGTTGTGATGTTATTAATGTTGAATTAGTGTTTAATCTAGTGGAAATAGGTTGTATTGTGGAAGAAAGTTCAAGGGAAGTGAGGAGGGAATTTTTCTGTTTCTGCCCTTGCTATGTCCGTGCACATTGGTGCACCTTTTTGTGGTCCAATTGACTTATTTATGATGTATATATGTTTTGTGGATAGTGTGGAAGGTTTCCACAAAAAATTACGTGATTTGGTTAGCCAAATGTTGTGATTTCGAAAGTTCATCAAAACTGGAATTTTTCCCGTATTGCACTGGCAGTGTTTTTCAAACAGCTGTAACTTTTTGCTCCGATGTTAATATCGAGTGTCGT